TAATATTATATATTTGTATTTATATAAGTATATGATATATATATTTTATATATAAAGTATATGGATATTTTTATATATATAAATATATATTTTTATAGTATATATAAAACTATATAATATTTTTATCTTATATTTATATAATGTTTTTAATGTAACAGTAATATATATTACATAAATATAATTTAAGTTGTGTTTTTATAATAATAACAATAATTGGTTAAGTCCCAAAGTTCCTCCTGTGAGCAGGGAATTCCTGGCAGCAGCGTCTCTCCCAGAGTTGCCCCTGGCACATGGGATGGCTGTGGCCGAGTCTGGATTCTCCCGGATTCCCCCAGACTCCCCCAGATTCCCACTGGGCTGTTTTCCCTCCGCAGCAACAGCGCGGCGTGTTCCAGTGCCGTGAGGAAACCGGCCATTTCCCTGGCTGACAGCACGGACCTGAGGTGTGGAATGGCAGTGGTGGGGCTGGAGGGGGGACCAGGCTTTTCCAGGAGTTTTGGGGAGCTGGGACAGGCCCTGGGGGGGCCAGAGCTCCGTGAGCATCCATGGGTGTCCCTCGTGCTCAGCACAGCAGGAATGGGGCAGGTTGGGGATGTGAGAGCGGGAAAATTTGGGAAAGGAGATTTTTTCCAGCTTGGAGTTGGAGAGACCTTTTCCCTGAGCACTGGCATGGAATCTGGATCTGGTGTGGGCTGAAAACACTGGAAAAAATCAGTTCAATTCCAGCATATTCCAGGAAAACCAAAATCCTTGCAAACATCCACCATCCACCTCATCCTCCTGCAAATCCAGGGCTATTTTTCCTGGTTTAGAGACCAAAACTCCCTGAAAATGTTCACAATTCACCTCATCCTGCCAATCCAGGGCTGTTTTCCCTGGTTTAGAGACCAGAAATGTACCTGCAGGAGCACAAACGTTACCAAGACAACTCCAACCCAGCTCCTGCATCTCCATCCCGGGATGCTGGGTGCCAGCAGCGCTTCCCAAACTCGTCCCAGCTCATCCCAAGCTGTTTTTTCCAGGGTACTGCTGAACATCATGTACCTGATCGTGGAGACCGTGCGCCAGGAGGCCGAGGGGGACAAACCTGAGTGGAAGAGCATGAGACAAACATTCCGAGCGGAGCTGGGTGAGGGTCTGGAGCTCGGCATGGGGAGGGACAGCGGGGTGGGATTTACCTCCAGGCCTTGGTTAACAGGGACTGGCAGCACTGGGTTGGTTTCTGCTCAGCTTGGAAGGGTGAGCAGGAGGAGCCATCCAGCCTTTCCTGCTTCCCAGGAAAAACGTGGGGCATTGGGGCCATTGTTTCCTCTGAACACAGAGGTGAGAAATGATGGAGGGTCTGAGGCCTTGGAGAGGAGAGGGAGCTGTCTGGGGTGGGATGGGGGTCTCTGAGCTGGTGGGGATGGGAACAGGGATGAGGAATTCCTGGATAATCCCGCTGTGTGGTTGCAGGAGCCCCCCTGTACAACAACGAGCCCTTCTCCGTGATGCTCTTTGGGATGGTGACCAAGTTCTGCAGCGGCCACGCTCCGCATTTCCCCATGAAGAAGGTGCTGCTCCTGCTCTGGAAGACTGTGCTGGTGAGGAGAGGCCATGGGATATGGGAATGTGTGCTTTGGTGCTTGGCACAGGAGGGAATTCTGCCCTTGGATCTGGCTGTAATTGCTCCATCCTCTTCTGGTGTTCAGTTTGCACCTTATTAAACCCAGTCCCAGGCTTTCCCCCATAGAGAAATATTGGATGTTGGTATTTGGAGCTGGACCCAAAGTGAGATCCCTGATGGGATCCAGGAAGGGAAAGCTCTGGACACTCCAGCTGTGGATTCCGGGACACCCTCCTGTCCCTCCTGCCTGTCACAAGGACAAGGGGGGCACAGGGACAGGCAGCTCCTGTTTTACACCCTGGAGAAGGATTTAGGCCCCCCAGGACAAGAAGGACATGGAGGGGCTGGAGCGTGTCCAGGGAAGGGAACAGAGCTGGGGAAGGGTCTGGAGCAGGAGAAGAACTGAGGGAGCTGGAAAGGGTCTGGGCACCAGGAGAACTGAGGGAGCTGGGAAGGGTCTGGAGCAGCAGGAGAACTGAGGGAGCTGGGGGGGCTCATCCTGGAGCAAAGGAGGCTCAGGGGGGACCTTCTGGCTCTGCAACCCCCTGACAGGAGGGGGGAGCTGGGGGGTTGGGCTCAGCTCCCAGGGAACAAGGGACAGGAGGAGAGGGAACGGCCTCAGGCTGTGCCAGGAGAGGGTCAGGTTGGACATCAGGAGGAATTTCTTCCTGGAAAGGGTGGTCAGACCTTGGCAGGGGCTGCCCAGGGAGGGGCTGCCCAGGGAGGTGATGGAGTCCCCACCCCTGGAGGTGTCCAAGGAGGGGCTGGCTGTGGCCCTCAGTGCTCTGGGCTGGGGGACAAGGGGGTTATGGTCACAGGTTGGACTTGGTGACCTTGGAGGGTTTTTCCAACCTCCAGGATTCCATGATTGTGATTGTGGAGAGCAGTTTTGGGAAGGGCAGGCAGAGCTGCCCTGGGAGCCCCCACGCTCAGCTCCTGGTGTCCCTTGCAGTGCACCCTGGGGGGCTTTGAGGAGCTGCAGAGCATGAAGGCGGAGAAGAGGGAGATCCTGGGGCTGCCCCCGCTCCCAGAGGACAGTATCCAGGTGATCCGGAACATGAGGGCGGCATCGCCCCCGGCATCCGCCTCCGACCTCATCGAGCAGCAGCAGAAACGCGGCCGCAGGGAGCACAAGGTGGGGACAGGGACAGCAGCAGGGGGGTGACAGCAACAGGGGGAGAGGGACAGCAGCATGGGCGTGGTGACAGCAGGGAGGGCATGGTGACATCAATGAGGGGACAGTGACAGCAATGAGGGGATGGTGACATCAAGGGCATGGTGACACCAACGAGGGTACGGTGACAGCAACGAGGGGACAGTGACAGCAGTGGGGGTACAGTAACATCAGTCAGGGTGTGATGACATCATCGAGGGTATGGTGACATCACTGAGGTAATGGTGACATCATTGAGGGCATGGTGACATCATCAAGGGGATGGTGACATCACTGAGGGCATGGTGACATCACTGAGGGCATGGTGACATCATTGAGGTGATGGTGA